TCGGACCATAGGATGCTGGTGACAGGGGTTGTATTCTTTTGCAGTCATTAGTTTTTCTTTGACGTTTTAAGCAGTAAATGTTACGTTGGTCAGCGAAGGATATGGAACATGATCCGACCAACGAGGGGGCTGTAGAATTTTCAACATGTGCCTCCTAAAGCCTCAGTATGGTCGGGTTGCGGCTGGTCACCCCTCTCTTGCATCTCGCGAAATGCTCCCGTAAGACCCAGCGTCTCACATTTTCTACGGACGAAGCCTTACTCACTGCCTGATGTTACCACCAAAGTGAGAAGACAAAAAGCCAATATCCGGCGCTATAACCGGATCAGTGAACCCCCGGCAGTTCACCTAGGGGAGTTGGCTAAAAACCCTGATTACAAACTAAATAAGAAGTGTACGAACCACATAGCATCCTGGTCGTGGTATTGGTCACCGGCTCGACTGGCTATCGACGTGTTAGGCTCTTTGAACGTTTGACCCCGTCAAATAGGCGTGTGATTTGATGAACTGGATATCGATCCCCAATAGATTACGGTTTTCACACAGCGCCCTTCCGCCTTGCGGGTCGGGTTTTGGTTAGCCGAAGGCTCTGGTTATGAACCCTCCAAGAAAATTCAACTGTTTTGGCATGGGCAACCTAGAAGTATCGTGCTCTCGAGCAAATCATGGACCTTTTTCCCCTCTTATAAATATTATTGTGTTATGATTTGTTTGGCATACAGTCTGAACTCAGGGACATGCAAAAACAAAATTTAAAAAAACCTAGTGCAGCAACAACTGGAATACCGAGCTATCAGCAAATTCAGCTGCTTCTGTTATAGTGACTGCAACTCTCCCAATGTAGCTTAGTGCTGTTATACCAACCTTAACTTTTCGAATTGATTTAACGTGTTTATACAATAACTTAGGGTTAGAGATTAAATCCTGTGCTAGCTCGTCTTGGTACATCAACTCATCCTCATGAATCAGTCTGATGTAGTAGTTCCTCAGCATACGGTAATTATATGTATACTGGGACTGCTGCAGCACCAAAAGTGGACACTATCTAATCATTCAAAGTAGGGATAGAAAAGTAAGTAGATTCACGGACTGATAATCAAAAAAAATAAACCAATCAAACGATATGCGGATCAATCTTGGTCAGATCAACGTAATCAGGTTACGGAGTGCGAGAACTAACGAAGAAAGAATAATCGTGAAATGCTTTTCGGATTTGGGAAAAGCGATCCGTGACCACATAGTACAACTGTCTTCGTTCCCTAAACCGACTTTAACACTGAACAAAAAGCTCGATAAGAGAAACGAGACTAATATTATCAGGTGTCGATATTAGTGACAGAGGATAGCAAAAACCAGAATGGCCGATACTCACTTTGATATAAGCGCCGGGATATATTTTATGCACCGCATCGCCTGGTCGACGGCCGGCTTCTCGATCCAGATAGTAGCTTTGTACGAATACAGAAAATTCGGACAGACAACGGATCCAAACATCACCCTCGCCAACATTATCTAGTTCGACGCCCTTCCCGATATATAACCGAGACTTTTCTGATTGTTCTGATCTATGAAAAGGAATTCACAGAAAAATCATGAACACAATGCAAATAATGATGCAGGAATAAACTCAACAGACGGGGAAATTGATCAAAGACCAAAGCGAAATCAAACATACTGAAAATAGTCGATTCCAGCATGCTACACGGCATAAACAAAGTGTCACGACTTATTCGTGAGCGAAAAACTACCAGGTTGTCCAAGCCATGGCGAGTGAATTTTGTTCGAGATTTTTCAACCTGAGCATTCGGCCAGCGAAAGCCTACTCCGCGACGTAGTGGAGCAGTGAGTGAACACAGTAATTCATTGGGAATTGATGTTCCAACAATCGATTCATACAAACTTTGCACGGTGTCAAACCCCAGACGAAATAACTAAGTGCGACCCATGCGGTCCGACCCAAAAGCCTTGCATGATGTATGGAGTTTCAAGTCGCATGTTTTGCGAACAGTCGTGTACAAACCGTACTGTCTCTCACAGAACTCGATGAAAACTCCACATTCACAATGTGCCGAGAGCATGTCTGTGGAGATAAATCGAACCTGTACTAAGACTTTCGTGTAAACCTAGCAACTGAAGTTAGCAATGTTGATCCGTTCTATCAAATCCCGACAATGATTCAAAGATATCGGTGGTCGAACAACCTGTATCTCCTAAATCCTCTGTTGGGCAATGGATGGACGAAGATGACCGTGTTGAATAAGAATGAAATACAACCTGAGGTAATTTTTTATGTTCCAGTTTTCAGTTTCGGCTTTTACAACCACCGACCATGCACCTTTGTTATGTGGTTTAGTGTCCGGAGAAACCCACGACAGTAATAGTAACTTCAAAGGTTAGCTATTCATTCTCTGAAGCAATCTAAGCCGTTGTATAGCAGCGAGAATCCAAGAATGGTGAGGCATGTGTAAAAAGGTAGGTACGCACCTGTGAACGTTGGATAGCTGACCAAGGCAGAATCGATTTGGACTGGAAGGATCCGTGTAGCCGTCTACCGTTACACGAGAGTACTGACTGGGTACTTTAAACAGCTCGCCAACTTGTTGGTCCAGTTCGAAGTAAGCTATGTTGCACCAGAATTCCGGAGGCCGTTGAGTTGTTAAAATCGGAACCGGCTGTGCGCGCGAACCCAGAATGGAAAGGGAACCAGATAACAGTGAAAAGAATTGTGACCAAATTCGAATGAACAATGATAACAACGAATTGAGTTTAACAGAATAACATTGAGGGATACGTTCAATCCCATGCGATAACATCGGTAGCAATTTACCATAATCCGTTGTGTAGTGGTATGATACAAACGCACTTGACTTTTACCCACCTTCATTATATTCTATTTGCTAATAATGGAGGACGGAACACTGTCAGTTTGAGAGGGTTCGCAAGAGACAGTACGCGGAAGCAATCAAATGATGAAAAATCGGGTTCTTAGCAAACAAAATTAGACAGACATTATTGCATAGCGCATAGCTCGTCGAAGCCAATCAGCGACAGACCGCTAATGAGTCAGCGTTAGGAAAAAATGATCAGGGGTGAGTTTTACACGCTTCACTTAACTTCTTCAATCTGGTTTCAGCGGTGGACCTCACATTAAAACTGTCATGGGGCGTGTCTATCCGCGTTTTAGTTGGAAGTGCACCACGTCCTCCGGAGGGCTAGGCTCCTTGATGATACCCACCTCTCAAAAGAGACCTGGAGGACACTACCTCATATAAATGTGCCGAAAACATAAGGAAGACGACATCGATCTCCAGTTACTTTCAGGTCCTCAAAAAGACAATATTGACAATCTAACCATAACGGTCACTTATATGAAGTATCAAAACCAAGTAAAGTGAATGTAAGTCTCCAGATTAAAACCAAAAAATCATTGAATCAAAATCAAGGTGTTACGAATAGTTTACGAAACTGAATAGAAAATGGTTACCGTAGTCTGAAAAGACCAACTTATTAAATGGGAACGAAAATTCGGTAGAAGAGGCAGCAGAGGACTCAAGTTTTCTCGCTGCAGTGGTCTGTTAATCTTTTGCACAGTTGAAACCGAAAGTAGAAACGGAGTTAGAAAGGGGGAACACAGAACACTATCAAAATATACCGCAATTGCGTGCCAACATGACTTAATGAAAATGGGCAGTACGGGTAGGTCGGTATGGTTGTTTATATCGGCCAACGTTTTGGCATGCAAATGATTTGGATGAACAGTGTAGCTAAATCGCATAAATCAAGTGGAAAGTTGAGGCAAAGAATAGAGGTGGAGTGCAGAGGACGAGTGCGTGGATTAGAGATGACAGGAGCGGTGGAAAAGAACGAACAGAGTGGAACATACATGAGTACCGAAACTCGTACACATCTGCCCAATCATTTAACTGAACCCTCGAGAGACGCAATCGCAAACGTATTCATGCACGAACAAACGCACGTGTTCACGTGCGCAGGTGGACAAGCGAGGGATGACAAACGACTGGTGTGATCGATTAGGATTCCTGGCACGGCTAAACAAAACAGAGATCCGATGAGTGGGCTAGATGGGCGGATGTATCTTTTCCAAAGTGCCGACAGCAAGGTTAAGAAATACACAGAAAAACTAATCTCATGGGCTTATCAAACATGTCCGCATGAATTAAATCCGAAAGAGTTATTTGGTTTCAAAACGACTTGACTTATTTGGTTAGATTCCTTATGCCCAACAAAAGCGAAAACAGTAAATATATCTCTAGTATAGTTTTGGGAGCCAGTTTTCAAACAAGAACAACAGCACTTGTGCGAACCAATGCAACTCTCACCATAGGACTAACAGACCAGGAAAGCTGTTCTTGCTTCTTACCGAATGTGGTGTAAAACCGATGATTAAATTAGGACTGGTTAAGTGAATGTGCGGTGAGACTTGAGGTTGCAGGCAATAATATTTTTCTTTGAGTTAGTTCCAAGTGATTTGGAATTCATATGAATTTCGTCTAACTGAAGACAAAGATTCATAGTGAACAATACCTTATTCCAGACGGATTTCTCTACAAGATGTGGGCTGATCAACGGTCACCAAAGTAAAAATGAATTCATAAAACAACACGTCAGAGGTAGGTTGAAAGCTCTGGTGTCAACTTAAAACAGTATAAGCCTACCGCGAAACATCCCAAAAGTAGGAAAAACGCATCTCGCAGGATCGTTAGCGGCATATTTTCAACGGCGATCAAACAGAACTATTGATTCCCGAAGTTCGAAGCTCTGACATAATCGAACATTGATTACTGAACTGAGAAACTGGTTCAGTATATCCTCTGGTAGTTAAAAGAACTGTAACTTTTGTTGCTGACGGTCAACTGAGTATTACCAAAACCATTATTATACTTCACATCGGTTTTGAAACGGCTTTCATACGGCCTCGGACACCAACAACCGCAACAATCAGCGAATAAGGAAGATCTTGGTGTCATCACACAAGATGTTCAATTAACTGCTAAAACGAATCCATCCTAGCTCTGAATTTACTTGTGTCTGGCAGAGTTGAGCCAGCTTTCATCAGGGTACGTTCTACCACACATTACCCGAGGCATACAAGACTATAAGCTATGGCTGCAGTGCAGTTTTGAAACATTTATAAAGGACGACCAACAAGAAGTTCAAGGGACCAAACACATTTCTCAGGATCAAGGGATTTTATAGTATACGGTGATGGGATACGTCTTGGATTGGGAATAATCTATGAAATAATTGAGATCGAACAGGCATTACCACAAAGGAAGATCCCGTGCGGCGTGAATTTCAATGAGCTGGCATATGGCATGTCGGGAACCACGGGTGTAGAGTTACACACTGCATGAATACGATCACCTTTTTAGTTGAGCATGCGTGAGTTATCTCGAAAGGAGGAACGGAGAAGCGCAACTGATTGGTATGCACTAAACTTTTACATATTCAATATTTTGAATTACAATGTGCACTTTTGTGAACTTGCTGTGTGCTCCCTGTTCGTGATGATGGCGAATCGACAAAACCATTGAGCTAATTCAAAATGAGGTAGTTAAGACCACTCCTCGGTAATGGTTTATACCGATAAGGCAGAGTCCTTTCTGTTTACCCTTGATCTGCACTGGGGAGTACAGTTATTAACTTTACTTTGTGATGGGATTTTATTTTCGATCTTACCTGGAAGTTCGGAAATGATCGACCTTCCTAGTGGTATGTGATGTAACTAGCACGAAATAACATGTTGCCCACAAACGAGTCTCCGAGTCTAATTGATTATCTCTTCGTACTAGTAACCAAAAACATGGCTGCTTTTTCATTTGTTATTTATGGCAGAGGCCATTCTTCGTCGGTATAAATCGAGCAGAAATTCTAATTATAACTAATGTCATGTTTTTCACAAGAACTAGTAATGTCCATTGGCAGGACTTAGGCATCATCAAACGATGTTGAAATCCGAAAAGATTACCGCCTACATTTATTACCTAATCTGTTTTTTTCAATATGATACGAAAAGACACGGACCAACGGTGAGTAACAAAATATCATTACACCGAGCTTTATTTATCCCACTGTTTCCGCACGTTCTTTGCAGAACAAATATGCGTGCTACTTCGCTCGAGATATTGCACGTTCATTCGTTCACAGTGTAGAAACCAAAAGTAACTAACGAATCCCAGAATACTTGGCATGATGTTGTTCTATATCCGCAAACTATCGTGACTTTACGAAATCAGGCGAGTCTGATTCGAGGCGAAGAGAACACACAGGAATTCGATCACCTCATTTGCACACTGCATGATGTCATTCATTAGGGTCATGTAGGGAAATTAAAGAATGGTAATTTTATCAGCTGAAATAATCGAACGTATTTGCAAGGGCTCGGAATAATAACATACCACTGAAAAAGAACACAAAGCGTGCCGAGCATAGGCGTATACGAATGAAGTCTATGAAAGTGAAACATCAACAACAGGGTTATTGATGCAAGAATCATATAACACCGAAGCCGAACAGGCGGTTGGATTCCACTGCGGCGGCTGTTTCAGGGTAGTGTACGGTGCGTGGAATTGGTTTTCTGGGGGTAGAATCTGTGGAGTTGAGACTTTAAGATAAAAGGTAAAGTGAAGCTACGGTTCACAAAGGTCAATCACGAATTTGCACTTCACACACGAGATGACACAGGTGAAAAAAGTGAAACCAAAGAACAGTTAAGATACTCTACAAAGATTGCTTATGATATAACTTACACCTTAACTTCGTAAATACACAGATGATGTTCTCCACTTACAAACACTAAACACAAGCTGTACTTGCAGTGAAGAACACATCATGATAACAGCCACTTCCATATTTCCCCAGTTACACTGGTTCATCAAAGTTACAGGACGACATAGATCACCCCGAGTCTGCACACTGACGTGGTGTGGTGCCTTGCGTGCCTCCATGACTCTGCGAACTATACTGAATGGCTACTCACGACCGCAGATCCAATCATGCCTGAGGTTAATAGATAGAGGCCAGACGAAGCACAGTCTCACAAGGCCAACTGATTGGGAATTTTCTGGTTATCCACTCTCGCCCCTGGAGAGGTCACTACAGTGAATAAACACGGAAGGTGCAGTTTACCGATCAAAAAACACCGCTAGACGGACTGGGGCACCCTCTGGACGGTGGGAGAAGTCTTCGCACTTTATTGGACAGATACCGCCCGCCCAAGCTGAGCAGCCCCAACCAATAAAGTACTGTCCCGTCCACGTTCCGCCTGTCTCACTGGGTGCATGAGGCTGAGGGCCGATCCCGAACAGTGGACCGTCAATCAACGCACCAGCGAACAAAACACTGAACGGAGACTCAGATGCCTTGTGTGACGGGTATCTTCTCTAGAGATTCCTGCAAGGGTGCTTTGGTCACACTCTCGCATTGGATCTACGCCCCACTGCCTTGTGGGTTCGACTTTTGAGTCGAAGGATCCGGTTAGTGTTTCCAAAGAAAAACCCCTTCAGCGATGTGGCCTACCGCAAAGTATGTAGTGCCCCAAAGTCTTAGGTGCCCATTTGGAAAACTCTCATTTGTTCAGTTGTTCCTCTAACTACAAAATCTTAGGAGATGTCTCCAGTTTGCACTACCTATGGTGTATCATTCAGCAATTAGCTAGTAAGTTTAACCAACCAGAAGTCATCAGATTCTTGAAACCGAAATTTCCTTCTCACTTAGCCGCATTTAATGTCCGCAAGTTGCCTTAGCTAGAACTCTTGAAACTTTCCCCGTATCTCCGGAACACGCATACAAG